ACTGGCGACTTGGTAGTACAACTTTAGTACGCGGAGTATCTGGGGAGCTGGAAGATGAGAACTGGCGACTTGGTAGTAGAACTTTAGTACACGGAGCAATCTGTGGAGCTGGAAGATGAGAACTGGCGACTTTGTAGTACAACTTTACTACGCGGAGGCGACTTTCGAGAGGTGAAGAACTTGCAGAAGACAGGTGTTCCTGCGCTTCAGAAAGACATACAGAGAGAGACACATACACACACAGACATAGATACACACACACAGAGACCCACACACTGCCTCAACACACTCGACTTAACACTTCACACTGAACACTTATAACACACTTAACAGATAACTCGCACTCTGACTTCCTACGTGATGAAAAATGCTTTCAGGCCACTCGTCGTCTAGTTTTTTTTTTCGATCCGTGTCATGTAGCGACCATCTATTTACCATTCGAATCCGATCGCTGTCATATATGTTCTTCGCCAGGAGGGGGAACACTTCATAGCACATGTTTTTTTTGGCTGGGTTCGGGGAGATCAGGTCCTCCTTTGAGGCCGACGTCTGACTTGGCTTCCGACGTCTGTCCTAGATCAAAACTGCGAAGATCGCTCAACAGCCTCAGGTTGACTTGGAGGTTGATCCCCATCAAAGAGGTGACAACAGAGGTCACACGGAAGAAGCGAATTTAAGGGGAAGATGTTCGTTGTGCTCCTTAAGAGTCACCCATCAGAGGTCACACAGGTAAGAGTAAGATGTTCGTTGTGCTTTCTTTTGCTGTCGCTTCGCTTGGTTTTCGATCGGGCCACTGAGACCAACCTTAGCGAAGGAAGGTGAGACAGCGACATCCGTGGAATGGAGATGTGCCTCGTGAGACCGCGGCAGGTGGGAACCTGCCAAGACTTTGATTGCAAGGCACATCCGCGACATCCGATACGTGCGTCCGCGGATGTTTTTCGTCACGTCGAGACCTCACGTTGTTCAATCGTGCACGGAAAAGACCAAAAACACCGGGGTCCCCACATGTTTGTTCGCCCAAGAAAGGACGCTCCAGAAACCTCAGTGGTGAGACCTGTGCGAAGAATAGAGGTGGGCACTGACGGGATTCAAGATGTTGTTGTCTGCCTTGACCGATGGAAAGCAGCATTAAAACAGAACGTGAAAACGACAGGCAGTTCTCAGACTCCGCCAACTTGAGCAGCATGGAAAAGCTGATTGACTTTGAGATCGGAATTTACCCCATGGATTGCCTTGGCATTCCTTGTGAAGAAAAAAGGTGGCCCAGGGCTGCCCTGCAAGCGGCATGTGACTGTTTCATGCATGAAAGTACGCAAGAAGAAAGTACTCGTGGCACACAAAAACAAAACTGGACAGAAAGACACAAGGCCTCTCACAAAGCACACCTTCTTCAAACTTTGTGACATTGTGGCTGCATTGGTGTTTTTCCCTAGACAGTTTGGTCGGTGTTCTCAAGGCAAGGCATATAATGGCTGGATTTCATCAAGGGTGCTGACATCCGTGGGCTGCTAATTCGCTGCTATTTACCACACATTCATGCCTCTTGAGATCTTCGAAGCGCAATGGCTGGAGCTGGTGCTTTCCTCAACTGCACTCGCGTTGTGGTGCCATGCATAGTTTTGACTTTGCCTGGCAGGCGCAAGAATCCTTGTGCTTTGGTGGTCGGAAGTCGACTTCTCTTGGCAAGTGCGGGAGATCGGAGCCGTTTTACTTCGATGTGCAGTTTCGTGGCCTGCAGGGGCAGCACTTTGCACTTGGTGGGGTCTCTGGCGTGCTCTGATTTCGTGGCAGGTGCAGTGAATCGTGGTGAATCGTGAACTTTGGACATGTGGGTCGCTTTCATAAAAATGGAGGGGTATTGCGCCAAAGCTTCGGTTTGGGCCCTCAGTCTCGAACTTGTCTTGGGAAACGAAGCGCAATGGCAGGGCTGCGCGATGTGAGTCTTGATGTGCACATGTGATGGTGGGCGCAGCGCTTTGTAAACGTGCATGTGCAGATTTTGTGGCAGGCGCGGCACATTGTGAAGATTTCGTGGCAGCCACAGCAAGTTGTGAACTTCCAGGTGCAGATGTCTTGGCAGGAGCAGTGCTTTGTAAACCTGTGGTGCACAGTTCAGCGCAAATCTGTGAACCTCGAAGTACAGATTTCATAGCAGGCGCAGCACTTTGCAAAGCTCGAAGTGCAGATTTCGTGGAAGGTGCAGCAATCTGTGAACCTCGAGAACCAAAAGTAGGAACTCTCATCCCTGTCACTGGCATAATATATGCGCTTTCATGTGTGTGCTTTTGTATAGGTATGTATGGGTGCTCTATTGTGTGCGCTCCTCATATGTGTGCTCTCACGTGCGTGCTCCTCATACCTGTGCTCTCATGGGCGTTCTTTAGAGGAGGTTGGTCTTTGTTTGGTGTTGTTTTGCTGGAATAGTTTTTGCGGCAACCCCTCAATTGCAACTGTTTACTGCTTGTGCACTCCTTTGACTGCCTCTATTTGATTGTAGTTCGCAGGGTTGAATAAACTGCGACACTGCGGTGCTGACGGTGGGTGAATGGCAGGGTTCTAGATGGAGGGTTTGCGCAGGACGGTATTTTGCTGACATAGAACAGGTTTTCCCGGCAGAATCGATTCAACCGTGATGTGCTTCCGCGGCAGCAAAACCAGCAAATTTTAAAACATGGTTTTGCCAAGCAGGGAACCGATCCTTTGTGAAACTGGAAATCCAAAAATGTATCTAAACAATCATCAAAAGATCCCTCAACACATTCTACATTGAGACTGCTGTGTACGGAGCTCGTCCTTATACACTCTTTTGGCGCAGCAGCCACACAAAATGACGGATTTCCTGCTTGACGTAAACTATTTCCAAAAAATTGCAAGGACTCAAACCCCTGCTGTCGCCTTCGCCACTTGAAGGTATCATCCCTCCCAGAATCAATCAGAGGGGTCCTTACGGCTCTGATGTCCAGCTCGTCCGGACGAAAACATTCTGCAGCGCTCGTCAGGCTCCTGGGTCGCAGCCTCCGACCCCACGAGGAGTCGTCGACGCGGGTCTCGGGTCGATCCGAGGTCGGTCGGTCAATCCCCGGTATGGGGCGCGCCCGGTTGCCCGGTTGAGCCTGTCTGCCCGGTTGCCCGGTTTGCCCGGTTGGTCTGCTTGCCCGGTATGCCCGGTTGCCCGGTTGTGTTTAGGAGATGATTCAGAAGACGCTGGCTCGAGGGGAGAGTATCATCTATGCTAATCGCTTCATCGATGCAACCGGAGTGCGGGTGAAGGACCATCGTGCGAAGAACGGATGCAGACCGGCCACTGTGCGCATGGCATTCGGACGGGAGTGGGTGCGCTGAGAAGCCAATGCTCTGAGGATCTATATCGACTTGCCTGATTGCCAAGATGAAAGAGCAGTTGCTCGTCACAACAATGAGCTGATGCGTTTGTGCCTGTTGCCTTTTGCAACTTTGGCTGATAAAATCAGGCAGGCAGAGAGCCCAGCAGCGACCACGAGGCAAGAGATCTCGAACTGCTGCGAAGACTCCGGTGAAGCCGATTGATTTGGACCCTAGCTCCGGCGAGGAGGTTGTAGCTCCGAAGAAGAGGGCCAAGGGTTCCAGTGCCAAAGCTTTGGGTTATTCACAATATTTATTAGTTTGTGTTTTCGTCACAGTAGCAGCACATAGGCTGATAGACTGCGATGTGAGGTGATCGCTGAAAATGGACTCGAGCATGAGCGTGGCGTCTACCCTGCACGAGTAAGACAAGCTTGAGATCAGAACCAAAAGGCCCTTGGGACAATTTGGCTGAAGTCTGATAACTATAACCTGCTGGCGCACTGTAGAGTGAAGTTGAATGAAGTTGATATGATCAGACAGTGCGGTGGGAGTGGTCCATACCCAAGGCGGGTACAGGACAAACAGGCTCTACCTCGCTGCGCTACGAACAAGCGATTGGGTTCCGACACGCTGGGGTGGGTGTCTGTAAGGAAATGATATTACTTCTCACGTGCATGTGCTTAAACCAGATAGCAGCAAGAATTTAGAAGGCCTGCTTGAACAGGCGCACCGTAGAGTGAAGTTGAATGAAATTGGGCAAGTAGTGCATCATTAGCATCACGCGGGGCTCAAGAGGCAATGCAACCCGTTCTCTACCAGGGGTGGGAGTTCATGTGAATGATAGGAAGGAGGGGGGAACGGGACGCGTCAAAGTGATCTGATCAGACTCGCGGTGGGAGTGGTCCATACTCAAGGCGGGTACAGGACAAACAGCTCTACCTCACTGACCAAGAAGTGGGATCCTCCACACTGGGGTGGGTGGTGTAAGAAAATGCTCTTATTTCCACTTGCGTGTACTTAATCCAGATACCAGAAAGATTTTAGAAGAGAAACAAATTCTTGGAAATCGCAAGTATAAGCAAGGATGGGTGGGGAGAGAGAGGGGTTAGGAAGAAACCTGAATTTGAGCTTTGGAATTTGCTTATATGTTTTTACGTCTGTTTGAACTGGGCCGCATATTCGAGAAACGTGGCTGATGAATAATAAATATAGTCATTTGTTGAAGAGGAAGTACGCACAGTAACCGCCACTTGTTGAGGCACCCCAGCGCATCCCACAAGGATAAAGAATTTGTTGACTTACAAGGTATGTCGACGCAGTAGCATGCAAGCTAATGGACGTACAATGCCTTTTTGCGCGCTGCAACCCTTATTTCAGTTGGCCGATCGATGGTTAAACCTCATATAGAACAGAAAAAATCAAACATATATGTATGTGTGTATGTATGTGAACATGTCATGTGTAGATATACCGACGCATGCCTATATGTAGGTACAGCTCTTTGTGCGACATAGTGGCGAGTGTGAGGCGGAAGGAGAATGCATCTGCGCTGGCTGGGGAGCAAAAAACGCCCCGTGAGTGTATGTGAGAATTTTGTGTCCTCTGGTTGTTCGGAGAGCTGCCAGATTCTGGGACAAACGGAAGGGTAGAGCACAGAAAGGGTTTTGCAAAAACCTATTCTACTAACTTCGTAGGAGGCCCAGGACATTCGTGGAACCTGGCCTGATTCGTGGACCATTTGTGGAATGGTGGACCCTTTAAGAAAACTAACCGTATAAAAAACAGAAACCTTCGCAGAGCTACGTGGAAGGTATTTTTGGTGTACTAACTTCGTAGAAGCAGTTCTTGCTGACACCCTTTCCGTACACACCCTCCATTTGCCTTTTCAGATTCTGAAAGCAAAACTAAAAATTTCTGAGGCAAAACGAAGAGGGCGTGCAATCAGCGCAAGGAGCTGGATTGCCCTTCCTAGATCTTCGTTGATGGTCATTTTGGGTTTCGCAGAACCCATGCGAGACTTGTAGATGCTTTATGATCGTTTGGAAAACACCTCTCGCTATTGTCCAAGGTTCGTGCTAAACTTGTTTACCTGTGGAGCAGTTCGCAGAAATGGTTGGTGTTCTCAGAAGGCCTTGCGCAGGCAAGGTACAACATTGGCTTTGCCCTCGTCTCACGAGGTTGCCAAAAATAGACTCTTCTGTACAAAACTTTTTGTTCGAGATTTTTGTGCTTCTAGGGGCCGATGCTATGCCATGCTGACTGATTGCACCTTTTGTTCGGCTGAGTTTTGGAATGTCCTTTTTGCAATTGCTGCATTTCTCCCCTGCCCGGTTGCTCGGTTCTGAGGGCTGCCCGGCTGCTCGGTTGCCCGGTTGCCCGGTTGCCCAGTGGTCCCTGAGTAAGGACCAATCCCCCGGCAGTCGGGAATCAATCCTCCGGTGGTTTTGCGGGAATCGATTTGTTAGGGGTGGGGGGTGGTTGATCCGATCCTGTTGGGTCAGGCTTCGGCTCTTGGGGTTCGGCTTCGTTTTCGCTTGGTTTTTTTCCAGGTCTCAACGACAGCTTGGGTTGGGTTTCGACAAATGTGTTCGCATGTCTAGGATTCTGCATGGGTTCGTGCGCCTGCCCCAAGACACTTGCCTCCAACCAGCTGCTATCTTACTGTAGATGTTCCAAAAACTCGCCAATATCCACCAATCGAGAAACATGAAGGAATTGTTTTCCTTGTTTCAAGATGGTGCTCCACCCAGATCTGTCAGTTGACTCGGGCTCGGCTGAAACCCTTTCTGTTGCCGTGCTGCTCGAGCACTGCTTCTTCTCAGCACTCCAGGACCACATGCAGCGCCCAACTCCGATCGGTCCAGGTGCGATCCGTCGACGCGTTTTGAAACATGCGACAAATCAGGATGAACATGGATGAACGAATGAGTCGAATGAGGTTGTTTTTTTTCACCCGTTTCGGAGAGCATGAGAGTGCGACAAAGACGATCGCGGAAGAAGAGTCTACCATGGGGTCGTAACATTCACCATGGAATATAAGGAAACCTTTCCAACACCCTCAGAGGGAACGTGAGGGAACCGGTTTTGGCAGGTTGCAGGTCCAGTCATTTTGGGACAAACTTATAAAAGCCGTGAGTCCCACGGCCACACCTGATGTATCGCATTTGAGATCTGAAGGAATGTTTATGAGTGTCTATTGAAGTTAGGGAGACCTCCCAGGCAACGACCCTCTCGAAGCAGGAAAATGGACCCAAACCCTTTAGCTGGGTGTCTCCCAGTAAGAAAAAAGAGATCACATATAACAACGCAGCCGGTCCGGTGCTGGGTGCAGTGCCGAGCCGTCCCTACCCCGGCGCCCTTCTCGTCGCTCCTCTTTCGTCGCCCCACGCTGCGCAACGAACGCAACCGCGAAGCGTCGAGAGTCGGGCAACATGTCAACCACCCGGTCGGTCATGGTCGGTCTGGTGCCAGTTCTCCAGTTCTCCACCTGTATCCAGCCTCTCTGGTCAAGGTGCGGTTCCTTTTATTGTGAAACCTGGACATGTGGGCGGGCAAACGGCAACCACGAAAGGTACAGAGACAACGTGTCTCATGCAATGCGGAGGACTTGAACTTGAACACACCTCTGGTAAGTGAACAGTCCAATTTTGATTTGGCGTCCTTCGCCACCGTGACACTTCACCAGATGCTGCTAGTCCCTTTTTGTGTAAATCTTGGCTTTTGTGTTCGTTGTGTACAAAGCAGAAAGGGAGGACTTCTTGTGACAGGGTATGACAGGGTAGTTACCGATCCAAAGATCTTCTAACAGGGTGTGATTTCATCCGTTCCCTGTGGATGAACAAATGTGAATACCTTTTGGGGGAAATATAATTTAGGGTTCCTGACAGCAAATCCATGACGAGTTTCTGTGAATCAGGGTGATGTGACTTTCACTTTCGGGAAACCGAACCGGCGCATGAGCCAAATGAGTGTTGTCACGAAGAAGTTCCAATTAATTGGTCTTGATGAGGTCTACTGGGCCCTGGAACCTTTGATCCTGATTTGTCGTGAAGAACGCCAGACGAAGGCTGACCAATCAGGCACAAGTTGTAGGCGTGAGTGAGGCCTCAGACGGTCCACTCCATGTTTTGGAGCCCACTCCATGTTTTGGAGGCTTTCGCACGGCTGGTCCTCGTCCTTGTCCACCCTTGGGCCATTCCGACGTCGGCTCCCTCGTCGGCTCCAGTTCACGAGTGAAGTCGACAGTGGTCGTGATACGCCAAACAATGAACATGTTCCAGCACCACCCAGTTTGGCTTGTTTTTGGATGGAAGATACATCTTCAGGGGGGTTCTATACACCACTCCATTGGGTGGTGCTGTTTCTACCATGTAGCAGGCTGAAATTCCGTCTTCGCACGTTTTCCCGGAACGGCTCGGAACTGCGAGTTGCCGGTCTTTCTGCAGGAAGGCCTTGCCCTCCTCCACGGCCCTTCTCATGGCGGGAATGGCCAGGCACCAAGAGGTGGCTTGAGGCGTCTCTTTCTTTAATTCTGAGGCAAAACACGGACTTCCGAACAGTAATGGGAGGGAACTGGCCAGGTGAAAGCAGGAGATGTTTCAGATGGCCCATGAAAGCCACAAATGATCCTGGCAACGTGTTTTCAAACCTTTTTCAAATGCTGGAACTGGTCGTTGTGTTTTGAACATGCTACTTTACTAGAGAGTTTTAACATTAATCTACATGCCCGCACCATCCGAATCGCCGAATAGGGTGTTTTATAACCCTGATTTGTATTTTCTTCTCTTATATATAGCTGCTTGCCCTCTTTGCAGCTGTTCACCAATTTCGTTACACACCTTCGGAGGCCTCCCCACAGACCTCCCAACTTCCACCGGGATGTGGTGCGGCAGCGACTCGCGGAAGGAATACAGGAATGAAGAGAGCAAAAACTGTAACCCTAGGGCTCCAAGTACCTCCTCAGAAGGTATCTGGACCCTCTGAACCCACCCCAAACAGTAACAGATACCCTGTTTGATCGCTGCTTTGGAGACTCGCTGTACGGTGATGTTCTTTTTGGGGGGGCTTCTCGGACACCCTGATCGGTGACTCCGACCTCTCGGTTCCGCAAATCCAAGATCAACCAAACACTTCGTAGCAGTTTGAACACTTAACGGCGCCGTGCTTTTCTTCGAAAGTCGCCGTGCTGTGAGCATTCTGGGCATCGATGAACGAAACCTCACCATGAGGGATGGACATGAGTGGACATGAGGTGTCGCAACAACTGAGAATTTTGAGCGGTAAAGGTCTGATACAGATGGACGTGGGCATCGATGCGGGGACGGCCTATAGAGCTGAATACCGACGTGAACGAGTAAAACCCATAGTTCCATGTCCGGGTGGTTTTGAGATGTCACATCTGAAGTGAACGATTTACCCAGTATCGGCACCCGGTATACCCTGCAATCGTCACCCCTTTTTCAACTGGGGACATCGTCACTTTCACCCAACTCTTCACATGACTCGATCGTTCTACTCCAATGAAGACCGTCATCCAAACTGAAGCTCGCCGGGAATGGCTTGGTGAGTGGACGCTCACGTCCGGGCGAGCGAGCGTGTGCGCTTGGGGAGCTCCTTTCGTCGCGGTCGGTGAATCGAAAAGGAATTGGGGCGTTTTCCACCTGCGAAGCAGGCGTTTTCCACCCTATTTCGTGATCGGAGATGTATGGACATGTTCAGCTATGTTGACATATATTTGCTAAAACCTGCAAAAGCCATAGGGCCCCCCTCAAAAGCGATAACCTTGTTGAATCCATGTCCTTTGCTTGACAGTACGTAAACTGGCAGACGCTCATGAAGACCAACCCGCCCGCGGTGGTACTGCTGGAAGATTCGATCATCTTCCGTCCAGGTCCTGCTGTTCCTCCTGCTTACCTGCAATTTCTTCAGCGGCTTACGGTTCAACATGCCAAGGAGAGAGCGAGTTCGCGAAGCGCCCGAGAAAAATCATTCCGAGCTCGATTTCGGAGAGTTTGATTTCCTGAAATCGGAGATGTCGACATGAGCAACCACATACTATCACCAAAACCAGCAATGGACCTATTTAATTAAGGGCGGCCGTGGGATAATTATGGGAGATTTTTGGATGACATCTGGGCACCTCTCTGAAGATTTAGCTGTTCATGTTCTTTTCGTTGCGCAAAAGGTTTAGGCAGATACCCTGAATGTTTGGGTCCAACAATGCAAGAACCAGGGTGGGTCAGCATCTGTGGATTTCACTTTTGTTGATCTTGAATTCTTTTGGATGCTTTCCTGTAGGGGGAAATGAGACCCTGTGTCCGAAGGTGTTTGTAATTGCCAAAGGTACCAAAAGACATTCAGATTTGTGCGTGTTTTCTCATTTAATCCCAATAGGAAGACCTCCCAGTTCGACCTGCTGGAAGAAGGGAATGAAATAGACCAAAACCCATTGGTTCGGGGTCTCCCTATTAAAATACACCCAAATGCCCTGCCAGTTGGTCTATGGTCTTCTAGTTTTCTTTGGGAGTTCGCCTAGCCATCGAAAAAGCGATCAAGTCATCGTCATTCGGTTTTCATTTAGCTTTCCTCCGGTCGGCGAACCTCATCCTGCTACAAAGAACATGTTCGTTACCGTTACCGCTACGAAAACTGGTCCATCCCGGCCCATTGGAGGTCTCGGACCCATGACTCATGACTGACCGAAGACTTCGTGAGGAAAGGCTTGCCGTTCTTCCTTTCAGCTGCACCACGCGAGACCTGCCACTGGCAAGAGCAAGTGTTTTCTTTTGTTTTGTTTGTTCTTTTGCAGCGGCATGGGCGCTGGCTGGTTCGTTCTGGTGTTTCGTTCGGATATTTCCTCCTTAGTGCGTGGTCTAACCCATTCCGCAGCAGCTGGCGTTTCAGCGGGCAGCTGAGCGCCAGCCAAGGAGCCAGGTCCCGTGTGTGAAAAATTGGGGCCTGCATTTCATTGACACTTATAGTACGGTGGTGTCTTGACGGTGTTTGCCGGGCGGGCTTTCAGAGAAACAGATTGCCGGAGAAACACCAAAACCACATGCATGTAGGGTCTCAGGCCACGAACATTGCAGGAGTTGTTCTGACGTTTTTTGATCCAACACTACTGCAGCTAGCGGACCATGGAAAAGGATCACTGCAGTATGATCCAGTTTGGCGAAGTTCCATTTTCCACTGCCTCATTCAAAAGAACCTCCAAATATCTCCAACGCCGGCCACACCCCGCCACCCTCTTCTTCCCCAGCTGAAAATCACCCATGCTGTGAGGTGAAAATCTCAGCTGTGAGACTTCGAGCGACTCCACCAGCAGCCCTCCCGATGTGTTGCTGCGGCCCGGGTAGGGAGGCCTTGCTCGCGGAACCATCCTTCCGGGACGGTGACGGTGGTTGGAACCGAGCAGGACAAGTCATCGGATTCAAAGCTATATTCAGACTCCACGCATGGCATACTTACCATTACTTATACCTATTATATGCTGTCTACAACCCATTTGACCTCTTGGCCATTAGTTGATCCTCCAAAACAAAGGTCACTCAGGTTCTAGGTACAAATAATATGCATTGGGTGGTTTGACCCAACAACCATCCCCAAGACACTCCATGCATGGTCAAAAAAACATGGAATGCTTACGCGGTCGGTGTGTGCGAAACGCCCGACCGCACTTTGGGACTTGACTTGCGCACCGTGGCCGGCACCGCGCGTCCACGTCCGACGGTGGGACACCGTATTGGATTGACCACGACTTGAAGAGCAATATTAATTCCAGGAGCCTCCTGGCCAGGCTGTTAGTTGAGGGTTGTTGGACCCTGTCAAAGGTCGAACCATTGGTGACCTGTCGGAGGGTCCTGGTTGATGATCTGGCAAGCGGAATCAGGAATGCAGAGAGAATCGGACAAGCAGGAAGGTGAATCATGATGCTGAGCTGGTTCCAGCTGAGCACATCTCAGCCGGTTGAGGGTAAGACTTTGGTTCAGGCATCTACTGATCTTGGTCGCCGTCTCCGGGGCAACGGGTGCTTACTTTGGCCTTTGTCTTTCCAGTTCGTTGGGCGACTGCCCCTGTTTAGAGTGGCCACTTTGTGGCCTGGGCTCTCGTCCGCCTGCTTTATTTTTCCCCTTAAGCCGTTGTTTTCACCTTTAGTTGGCTAACTGCCGGGCTAATCCCACCCTGCTCAGTACAGGACCCTCTTCCAGGAGCACGACGCTTGTCCCTTGTTTTCGTTTTCGGCGCGAGTCTCCTGAGGCGGACTGTCATCCACCATCTGCCCTCTCGGCTCGAACCCCGGGGCGTGTGACTGGCTGCATGGGGTCTTTTCACCTTGGTTGGTCTCCTCGGATGTGCTGCTGCCGGGTGGGAACATCTTCACCCGCGTGGTCACCGGTTGAAGATCTTTTGGAGGTCTGTCTTTAGTCTTTGCGGTTTCCTCTGTCTGTTTTTGACCCTATAAGGAGGCCACACTCCCTTTCTGCGTCCGTCTACTGAACTATCGCTGAGGGGTTCTTGTCAACTAACACTTGCCGGTCGCCTGGATTCGTTTCCTTGGCTCTCCCTGAGGTCTGTTTTCTCGTCGTACTCATCCTCCTCTTCCCCCCCCTGTTCCCCCTGTTAGTCACCTCAGAGAGGGCCCCAATGGGCTCGTCCCGCGGGCAGGAGAGGGTTGCCAGCGTACGAAGCGGCGCCCCAAATGGTCGTGGTGACGGGGATCCCCCACCGAACGCACTCGTTTCCGTTCCTCTCCGGCTCTGCAGTTCTCGATCTTCGAGCGGTCCCGGTCCGTCTGACGTGTTCCTCCCCCGCTGGTGTTTCAACCGGGGTTTGGTTCAGGAACAGTCTTCCTCTGACCCTCTCTCGCACGTCGATGTCCTCTTCGCAGATCACTTCCTGTGAGACCGAGCGCTTCAAATCACGATTTCGGTAGTCTTCTAGGTTCGTTCCGTAGCTGTTCGGGAGTGTGGTCCGGCGCGCGGACCGTTAGCGGCATGTTTTCCCAAAGGGCAGGTATGGTGCAAGCTACCATCGCCGCTGGACGACGACGACGACCACCACCACCACCACCACGACCACTACCACCACCACGACCACTACCACGATCACGACCACGACCACGACCACGCGACCACGACCACGACCACGACCACGACCACACGACCACACGATTACACGACCACACGACCACACGACCACACGACGACGACGACGACTGCTACTGCTACTGCTACTGCTACTGCTACCACTACTACTACTACTACTACTACTACTACTACTACCATGAGTACTACTACGACTACGACTACTACTACAACTACATACTACATACTACATGCTACATACTACATACTACATACATACATACATACATACGTACGTACATACATACATACATACATAAAAATACTACTACTACTACTACTACTACTACTACTACTACTACTACTACTATGACCACTACCACTACCACTACCACTACGACTACGACTACTACTACTACTTCTACTTCTACTTCTACTACTACTACTACTACTACGACTACTACCTACTACCTACTACCTGCTACCTAATACTTACCTACTACCTACTACATGCTACTTACTACTCGCTACTCACTACTCACTACTCACTACTACTACTACTACTACTACTACTACTACTACTACTACTACTATGACTACTACTATGACTACTACTATGACTACTACTACTACTACTACGACTACTACGACTACTACCTACTACCTGCTACCTAATACTTACCCACTACCTACTACATGCTACTTGCTACTGCTGCTGCTGCTACTACTACTACTACTACTACGACGTAGGCAAACATATTCAATACACGGAGTGTGTGGAACGATGTATTGATTTTTTTAATTAAGACCCATCAACATCGATCAACAGACACTATTCTTGGAGCATCTTTGATGTGGAAACCTATGGCTTGAATTTTGCCCTTCCTCAGGCCGGTGAGTTTGGAGGTGTGACCGAGGTCCACGTGCCTCGTCTCGCGGCTTGCATGCATATGGACAACGGGTGATCAGCGATGTCTAGGCCCAGGTTCGGTTTTGCAACCGATGTTAACCAGTAAAGTAGGAGCAGTGCCATGGAAATATCATGAGATTGGTATTTCATGAGATGTGAGGTGACGCGTGGTTTAGGGCTAGGTTTCGATGCGAAGTTGTTCTATTTTCAATGGTTTTTGTGCACTCACTCGTCATGGGGGACAACATCCTACATTTTCCGAGTCGACTCTCAAACGTCCATTTGGCGGCCATAGAAGTTATAGCAGGGATTACTATAGTTTTGACAAACACATGAACGACTCTTAGAAGTGGCTTTCAGTGGCCAGATCACCTTACGTACATGAGAATCACTGGCAACATATACTGGATCCCGAGTGGGAAGATCCGCCTGTCACTTGATTAAGGAACTCCTGGGTGTTTTGATCCTCCTCCCAGATTGTTTTCAAAAGGACGAGTATATGTGTATAAATGATTATAAATGTGTTAATTAGATCCACTGAAGCGGAACATCTGAGTCAACAAGAGGGATGCTTTCCGAATCCTTCCGAAGACCCTGACAATAGATAGATGGCACGAAGTTTCGGTGATAGCAACATGGTCTATGTGAAGATTGTGATGGTTGTTTTCAGAGGGGTCAACAGTTTCCACTCAGATGTCTCTGAAGACGGTGATGCGCAGGCTGTCGGAATGAGGCGAAGAAGACGTCCGTTTCACGCGACATTAGGGCGTTTCCATTCGACGCTCCATGGATGGAATCGATGAATATCTACTTACTCCCCTGCTATTTGGACCACATGAACCCCCAAGACCACGAGGTTGGTCTTCGGAAAATGGTCTGTTCAGAACAAGATCCCTGGGATCGTATGGGGGGGTGGTACATGAATCAGTCATTGGCATCATTCGAGCATGGGGTCAGTGTAACCACTCCAGTCCCATCCACCATGGATGGTCTAGGATCGATTCATTCCACAGGGCTTGGCTTCCGCTCCAAAGCCAGCCACGAGAAAGCCAGCCGGGCCAACGAGAAAGCCAAGCCCTGGCAGACTTGGGGACACTCACGAAAGCTTGCCGAGATGTCCTGAAATGCTGAAATTCTAGGTGTTGTAGATGTCCTTCCTCCTTGTCAGTCACGGACTTTGCCAATCTTTCTTCCTTGTGAGGGCACGTGCTGTTTTGTCAGCTTGGCTTGCTTGTGTGTGAGTGACAACGTAGCGGAGCTGCGCTGTTTGCATATAATGTGAAATTGCACAAGATGGTGGCGTGCTATCGATTGCCTTCAGCTTGAGCATTCAAGTCAAAAATTGTTTGCACATTGACCGCAATGCAAGGCCAATATGCATCATACAGACAAACCGCCTTGTGCAGACGTTGATTTTTTCCATGTCCCAACAGATGATTCCGGATGTTTCCATATTGTCTTGACATCCCCAAGCTCTTTTTGCAACCAGCGCTTCCATGTCCTGTGTACTTGCCAGCAGGAAGGAACCGCCTCCAAACGGCCTTCAAACGGCCTTGGGGCAAAAGGTGGCGAAGTGCGCGAATCTTTTGACGGTGAATCTGGACGTTGAACCATTTTTTCGTTAAAGCATCCAAAGCCAGACACTCCGTGTATATGAGTAATTACATTGAGCTGAAACCACCCCAATGTAGGTAAATATGAGTCACCAGTTCTGACTTCCCCACTTATTGAGGGGATTTGACACCACGAACAGAACAGGCAGTTTGGTCAATTGATGCCGTGAGTTGGGTGCCAACGCATTCAACGCACTGGGACTGAGTACTCTCAGTATGCATCAGACAGTTGCTATCCCAGAATTGGTTTAAGGGAACATCTACAGGAGACCCATAGTTTTGGGGGTGCAAACCACGGTCTCATAGATTTTTTTGCTTTAACCAATTCCGGGATGCAAAAAGCAGGTTACTGGCTTTGTGATCGGACATGTTTGGTCGCACACGGTGCACGTGCACGATGTCGGAGGGCCGACACCAGATCGGTGACGTTAACCAGTACTTTCATGAGTCTCCATGTCTCCGTTCAGGATGTGGCAAACCCAAACCCAACAAGAGAAGGTGACCCAACAGGACAGTGGAGTGATTTTGATGCTTGATCTTGAATTCGAATGACACCTCCGATGTATGTCAGTCACGGCGGAGCGCCTTTTCGTCCGCTTGTTATCGGTTTCCCCCCTCCGCAGATCGGCGGCAGCCTCCTGGCGGTTCATGGCGGTTTATCGCCATCCCTGCATCACTTGGATCAGGCAACGTACGGGCATCGCTACGTGGCATCGCATCGCATGGCATACGCGTTACGCGTGACGGTCATTTCGACGTTCGCTTTAGGACCGGCTTAGTAAGTAGCAAAGGTCATTGCTACCTACGTAACAAGGGAACCGATGACTGATGTTTCTCCCACGCGGTTCCCCCGCGCGCGCAGACGGCGCGTGGTTTCTTTTGGTTCCACGGCATAAAACCACGGGACGGGACGGGACGAAGTCAGAACGGCGTCGTTTACAGCGTGGAGGAGGGGCGCTGTTTTGGCTGATGTGCTTTGATGATTGTGGAATATGATTGTGGATATGACTTTCAATGTCGGCTCAGCGGTTTTTCGTTGCACACTTGGGAGATCGCATGAAATCGCAGTAAGCGTTCAAAGGTTCAAAGAACGAGATTGGTCATTATATATTCTAGTAGCATGAAGAAGCCATTGTGAGAGGGATCGGCGTCTCCGCACAATCCGCACCACCCGCACCATCCGCACCACCCGCACCATCCGCACCATCCGTGCACCCCGCACCATCCGCGCCACCCGCACCATCCGCACCACCCGCACCATCCGCACATGGCATTCTCATGCCTATTCTGGGGGACCGTGAAAGATTGTTCTGGCAGAGTGGGTCGTCCGAGACTGCAGCAGCGGGTTTGAAGCTTTGCTTCTTCGATCAAAACTTTCAGCAAGGGCTGAAGCTAAGTTGGCCTGGTGCAGTGTCAACCGATAGGCTGTTTCGCTTGGGTCGGAATGAGCCGGTGATATCATTGCAGTGCCACCCACTGGCAATCTAATTGCAAAGCTGGTTGGGTTTGAGGGACTGAGGAATGAGACGGGGATTGCGCAAGATGTCCGAAGCAAATACCAGGACTTTTTGGCCATGGCGCAGACGGACAGTGCTGCAGACAGCACCACCTCCCACAACCCCAACGGATATGATGGTCGCAGCTACACGTTTGCCCGTAACGCTTGCGCAGCGCGGGCAATCTGTGTCCAGCGAACACAGAGTGCGCGTACAGTGCTGCAGACGGCGCACGGCGGCGCAGACGGTGCACGGCGCAGACGGCGCACACTCACTCAGGGGCAGTCCATACATGTAGCTGGCTAGGGGTAGTCCATTGGTAAGCCTTTACATCCCTGTCACGCAGAAGTGTAGCAGGCTAGGATTGCCATGGAGTTGGGAGCCTTCTCGCATCGACCCGGAGCGTGAGAAGTTGGCCTTCGACACATATGCCATGAAGTTACGTACCTTAAAACTCTTGGGCAGCACTTTCCCATGACTTAGTTAGTCTGTTTTGGGAGGTCTTCAAGTGAATCCTCGGACTCGGATGGCTTCTCCCACTGTCCGCATTTGAGGGAAGAAAAGGAACCCAACCGTCTCCGCCCAACTGTGCCCAACTGTCCCCGGCGTTCCCTGAGCCCCGCTGGACTCCATCGGTGAGCCCCGTTCGCTTCGCGTCCGAACGCTCCTAGCGATGCCACGAGGTCCTAGGTAGCTTCTTAGTTCCTACTAGTAAGGCCAGGAGCCCCTTGTAGCTTCTTGTTACTACTAGTAAGGCACTTGTTACTAGAAGCGATGCCCTTTGCTCCTAATAGCTTCTTGTTCCCTAGTAGTAAGGCCAGGAGCCCGTTCGGTTCGCGTCCGAACGCTCGTCGCAGATTCGCCTCCTGGACCGCTTTTCGGAGATCCCCCACGATGGGCCGCTGGCCGATCTCATGTGGTGCCTGAGCAGAGGGCGAGCGGTGTGCGGCGTTCGGCGTGGTGTGCGGTTCGACCATGCGGTACGATGCGTTGGGGGTGGTGGGTGAGTGTGGTGGGTGAAAATCAGGTCTGAACCAACACCAGTCTTGAGTGTCCCTGATGAAAGACTCGAAAGACTCCTTTTTCACCTTCATGAACTGTTGGGCTGATTTTGTGAGTCACACAGTTTGTTCGCAAGGTCTCGCTGCTCGGTTTTCAGATGTGTTCAGTGTCCCTTTAAGTCTGCGGGGCTGTTTCTGTTTGTTTGGCGCCTTGATGCGCCTTGACCAGCGAGCTCTACGACAAGAAACGCTAAACATCCAGATCTCAAGTCCTCGAGGAGAGGCTTTTGCCGGGTTTTCCTCGGGAAAAAAACACGAAAAAGGGTCCTCCTTGTCCCATGAACCGCCATCGTTTTTGCATGACGTTCGCACCATCTTAGATCGTTCGCAGCACCGGTTCGATCCTCGGCTGCCACGTCTTCATGTCTGACGGATCCAGGGGGGATTCATCAATCATTCAACGCTGTTGGAGGTTTTCCTCCCAATTTGAAAGACAACATCCTGCATCCTGCATCCTTTGGTGTCGGGGCACCAAAACCTCCACGCTTTTCGTGCGCGTTCGCTCCGAAGACGTTCCACAGACGTTGGGGGGGCAAGGCAGACATTCCACAGACGCCAAGGCAGCTTTTCGGTGGACGGACGTCTCGCGCACGCCGTCAAACACGCCGTCGAGGTCGGATCCGGATCCCGACAAGATGGGTTTCGTCTCGGAGCTCAGTGGGTGCGGACGTCGCGGCAGGAAGGGGCGCGAGGCTGGGACTCACAAGTGGTAGTGAGGTTTTGAAAGACGTTTTGGAGTACTGTTTCTATCCATTTTGGGGTACATCTTGTGGTGATTTTGTCTTTTTGTGCTTTCCAATCTGCTTTGCGGTCAGGATTCACTGCACAAGGC